ATGAAGAGCTCATCATATATTCAAATGCTCCTTGATACGAGCCTAAACTATCTACATATTCAAATGCTCCTTGATATGAGCCTAAACTATCTATATATTCAAATGCTCCTTCATATGAGCCTCTACATATTCAAATGCTCCTCGATATGAGCCTAAACTATCTACATATACAATGCTCATTGATACGAGCCTAAATTATCTGCATATTCAAATGCTCATTGATATGAGCCTAAACTATCTAGATATTCTAATCCTCCTTGATATGAGCCTAAACTATTTACATATTCTAATGCTCCTTGATAAGAGTTTAAACTATCTATATGGCTCCTTGACACGAGCATAAAATGTCTTCATATCAAGATCTTATTGACACGAGAATAAAAGGTCTACATATCAAATTTGAAGGCTCCTTGACACGAGCATAAAATTTCTACATATCAAGATCTCCTTGACACGAGAATAAACTGTCTACATGTAAAATTTGAAAGCTCCTTGACACGAGCATAAAATGTCTACAAATTTGAATGCTCCTTGACACGAGCATAAAATGTCTACAAATTTGAAGGCTCCTTGATACGAGCATAAAATGTCTACAAAATTGAAGACTCCCTAATACGAGTATAAACTATCTGTCAAATCAAATCAAGATCCCTTGATATGAGTTTAAACTATCTACAAATTATGTCAAATGAAGAACTCCTTGATATGAGTATAAACTATCTACAGATCAAGTCAAATGAAGAACTCCCTGATATGAGTTTAAACTATCTACAAACTCAAGTTGAAGACTCCTAGATAAGAGTTTAAACTATCTGCATGTCCAAACAAAATCAAACATTCTGAGACTCATTCACTACCAAGACATTTTGTCCGTGAATAAGTCTCAAGGAGGCATTTGTAGACATTGAAATTTTAATACTTTGTTAATTAATGTCTTTATTTATTTTGGGACATAAATCCATGATAAATAAGATATTAATTAATAAAGTTATTATTTCTTGCCCACCAAGTCAAATATTAGGATAAGAAAAGAGATTATATCAAATCAAGAAGGACCAATCAAATTGATGTCTTCTTTTCCAAGATTTTCTTTCCTACACCTATAAATAGGGTTCTACTCAAGGTCAAAACTCAAACCTCAAACACCTCAAAAATATCAAAGACATCTCAAATATTAAAGTCTTAAATTCAAGAGCTCTCAAGAACCCTCTTGAAGATTTGAAGAGTCCATTCAATGAAGAAGAAGGCCAAGAAGAAAAAAAAAAAGGCGACGGCTCTCCCTCAAGAAGTAAAGAGACGACTTTCACGCTTCTCAAGTCAATCCAAGAATATCAACGACGTTCAAGCGACATTCAAGCCACGTTCGTTGAGAAGTCAACCGGCATAGTGTTCGATCCAAGAAAAAGCTATCAATCCCTCGAGTCAACGTTATTCAAGTCAAAATTCATCTTTCAAGAAGATCAAAGAATCAAGTCCTCCAATAAGTCATCTTCATCAAGTCAATGCCTAATATTTAATACGGGAATAAGTCATTCGACCCCCAAATTAATGTTAATGAAATTCAATCTCAAGCATGAAGGAGATTCAATCATCAAATCCAACTCTCAACTTCTCAAGCCCAAATCCATGAAGAGAAGAATCAGAGGAAATAAATAGAGATTGTACCCGCATATCATTTGATTGAAATATAATCAAGTTGTTACAGAAATTTTATGTTTTTCATAAAATTTGTTATTACAGTGCCCCTTTGAATCTCGTGCTACGTGAATGCTCTCAACCGTGGGATTATACTTTAATCCAACAGTTCTTAGCCTCCAACCTTTCATCTCATCTAGGTATAAAACCAACACTCAGCAAATTTTCAGACTTTTTCCACCTTTGCATCTTCTGGCTTCTCTTGTGCTCTAAGATTTCTCTGCGAAACCCTACTCTTTTCTCTCGGCGATCTCCTCCATCCTTCAGCTCCTTGCTATCATACCCACTACAACGATGAGTGAGTTGTTCTTCATTTGAACTTATGGTTCCTATGTTTCAAATTTATGTGCTTCTGAATTTTTTGTGTTCGGTGTCTTGAATTTGTTTGTTGAATGTTCTGAGTTTGTGCGTTTTACTCTGAATCTGTGTGCTGGGTACTTTGATTTGCTTGTTAAGCATTGTGAATTTTGCTCTTCCCTTCCAAATTTTTTGAAATTCCTGTTCTTCTCCTTTAACTTTTCAAAATCGCCTCTTTGGAAAAACCCTAGCCGCGGAGACTTCCTCCTTTTTCCCCTTTCTCCTCGTAAATATTCCTTTCCTAATATTGTTCCCTCTCCTTTTGTTTTGTCAGACTCCAATGAAAACGACCACCATTTTGGTGCGGACTTGAGTTCTCCATCTTCCACCTCGACCACTGTCTCTTTTGACTCAGTTCAGAAAGTTCCTTTTATCCCCGACGTTGTTCCTCTCTCCGTTTTATGCCCCGGAGATACCGTCCCTACTTCTGCCTCTGCTTCTAACTCCGAGGACACTATGGATAACATTCCCCTCCGCCGTCGTCGACCTTCTTTTGGCTCGCAAGATGTGCCAGAGGAGGACGAGGACAATCTTGACACCATCCTTCTCTCCTCTTGATTTACTACTCCCAGGTCTGTTACCACAATCCCTTCTTCCTTGAAGGTTGACGTATCCAAATCTTCGACCGTTCCTTCTTCTTCTCAAACTGCTCCTCTAGGATCTTCGACCATCCCTTCTTCCTCACAGCCTGACGCACCCAAATCTTCAACCAAAACCTCCTCCAAATCTCCATGTTCTATCTCCCGTACAGTTGGATGGCTAAATCGTGACAAGATCGGTCATCCTTCTGGTTGGGCGTTCTATATCCCTTCTTCTTCCAATACCTACGACAATCCCCCTTCCAATTGCTACACCTTCTTCAAGATCCAATTCGACCTTGGCATCCGCTTCTCTCTAAACCCTGAGCTACTCCGAATTTGTGAGTGGTTCGGGCTTCCCTTTAACCAACTTCTTCCTAACGCCATCCGTTTCATGACCACCTTCATCATTATGTGCCATGTCCGTCTAGGTCAATTCGACTTAGATTTTTTCCACTACTGCTACGCCCCCTCCAAATAGGCCCGAGGCCTTTACCTAAAGAGTCGCAATAACGTCCATTTCATCTCGGACGTCCCCTCCAACGTCCCCAAGTGGACACATGATTTTATCTATGTCGAGCATGATACCTTTTTTTCTTGGGCGGCTTCTCCTTGGCTCAAGGAACTTCCTCGTGAGATCTCGACCCCATCTCTTAACCCTCTTTTCGACCAACGGATTCATGTTTGGAATTCCAAGCCCGTTGCGTCGAGAGTTCTTTTTAAAGACGACAAACTTCTCTATTACTGCGGCCTTCTCACCCACAAAACTTTCTCTCCACCCACCAAGAAAGTCCTTGATCTGATTAAGATTAGGGATGATCCAGATAAATTTCGACCAGTTTACTCAAGTATTCATATATTTCGAGTATGTATTACTAATATTGACTTTGATTTTTCTATTGTCTTCTTGCAGAGGTGCCCAGCTTTTAATTTCCTCTAAGGAAGACTCCTCTGAAGATAAAGTCTGGCCCTGGGTCCACCTCTGGATCGGCCGGAATCAAGCCGATCAGGTCGAGGATTCGACCATCTCCTCTCGGCCCCAACCACAACAACAACAACAACAACCACAACAACATCGGCCACAACAACCACAATAGCCACAACAACAACAGCGGCAACAACAACCACAATAGCCACAACAACAACAACAACAACAACAACAACAACAG